GGATTTTGCAGAATTCAGATCCCTAGGTATGTAATCCCTGAACAGACACTTTTTTATGCTCCTCCTAATATTCCTATTTGGGTCTTAGATAATGTATGGCCACCCATCTCTCTCTCTGTAGTTGGAGGGCTCTTGAAATTGTCTAGGGAAGAACATTTCACAGTGGTTCTCCTGGCCAATGCCCATCCTAATGCCTATGTTCTTGCTCTCCTATTCTTAAGCTTCCTCCCTTGTATCACACTACATGTCTGCTATTGCTAATCAAAAATTTAACCAGCTTCTCCTCCAAGGATACCAATCCCTGATAGCACAACCAAAGGACACCTATAATGGACCCTACCAGGACACTGCGTTATAAACATCAAGACCCCCTTATAGGATGCCTGCTACAATTCCTTGACTCCCGATACCCACCGTGCGGAAGTCAGAGGATTGGCTCGAGACTCTTTATGACCTATGGCTACAAGGGACCTTCATCAACTTCAGGGAAGAGGAAATCTTCATTTTCAGAGTCTGGGTGCACACCACCATGAGGCTCAGCACCCCAACACTGTTTGCCAACTAACCCTCCCTTCCCCTACACCACCCCTTGCCAGCTTGAAGAAGCCAGAGCGAACACAATGCCCCCCTTCCTTAACAAACAAAAAAGGGAGGAATGTTGGCAATAATGGCGCCGACAGGTTTCGGTTCTTACTGCACCCTTAAGCTTCTGTTTTCCAGGGTCACAGTCCTGCCTCAAGTCTAGCTTGAACCCTCCTTCTGCCCCAACCTCCAGTCAGCATGAACCATAAGATCCTAACCAATCAGATCATGCCGAGTCTCACTGAGGAGTATTTAAGCCCCTGCCTCCCCCTCCCCCCCCTCCCCCTCCCCCTCCCTCTCCTCTCTCCTCTCTCCTCTCTCGGCTCTCTTCCTCTCCCACTTGGCAATAAAGAATCTCTTGGCCAGGTCACTCCTCTCCGCGTGGTCACTTTGGGCCTACATTTGCCTTACAAAGACATTGACTCCAGAAACCTGACCAAAACAGTCTTAACCTCAGCCTGACTTAAGCTTTAGATAGGCTACTGTTTAATTAGGCCCTTACCTTCCTTTGCTCAGCACATTTTCCTTAGAAAAATGGTCATTGTAAATTCTTTATCTGCCCTTTTGAGATCTAAGTTTTAAGGACCTGGGAGACAACCCTGTGAAACCTAATCCTCAAGGGAAAGAGTAGCCCTATCTCCCTCTCAGCCTCTGAGCCTATTGCAAGGGGCACACTGAATTAGTAAACATGGTTGGCCTAATCATAGAGAAAAGTATTTGCAAAATCAGAAATAACTCAACATGCCCAATGCGTTCGTTAATTAGCCTCCCTCTAACATCTAGTGCTTTTCCACTAGCTCATCCCAGCCCTGAAAATCCCTTCTACCTTGTTTCAGAGAAGCTAAATTCAAACTTAGTTCTAGTCTCTCTCCTCTATCCCAGTGGCCTTGAAGACAGTCTGCCTTGCCTGTTTAACTCTGTCCACTGAAATTTCTGCTTTGACAAGCCTCACTCGTCAGCATTAAAATCTAAGACTACATAATACAACATGTGAAGAGATGGGCTGGCAATATAGCTCAGGGGCTTGCCTCATAAGGCCCTGGGTTCAAGGTCCAGTACTGCAAAAAAGAGAAAAAAAATGAAACACTGTAGGAAGTTCAAATATCAGTCCTTGTTTTTTTAATTAAACATTGTTAAAATAAACCATCACAAATAGAAATAACACAAAAATTGTTCATCCCCATTTTCTCTTAAGCGATATAATGTTCTAAGCATCTCAAATTTGTATTATTTTCATCTATTCAAAAAGCCCATATACAAAATATTTAAACACAAATTAGGTGTAACAACAAAACTAGCATACATCTAATCAATCATCAAATCCTAGTTCATATTCTTAAATAACTCTTTAATTGACCTTTCTTCTCTATTTGCATTCCTGTTACGGTAATAAAGGCCTCCAAATCCCTCCTGAGTTACTGCTTTTCCTATAATGGCCCTTTCTTCGAACTCTTCAGAGCCTTTCTAGGCTCTCCTTTAGAACCCCAACTCGTCCCAGTCCATCTTCTATACTGCAACAGAAATCTAATTATGTCATATCCCTACCTAAAATGCCTAGAACCTACAATGCAGTCAATGCCCAAACATGCTACTCCAATTAACATGGTCCTTTCTCTCAAACCTACCTCAAATTATATACCTGAAACATACATTTCATGATATGGTTTGGATCTGAAATGTCCTCCAAAAGCCCAAGCCTAGCGCTATTGTTAGGTGGTGATACCTTTAATAGGGTATCACTTTTAAGAGGGCCCAGTCGGAGGTCTTCAAGGCCTTGAAAGGGAGATGGGACCCTAGACTTCTTCCTCTCTTTCACTTCCCAGCCTTGAGGTAAGCAATTTTGCTTCACCATACACTCCTGTCATGATGCACTGCCACAGGCCCAGGACAATGGCGCCAAATAATCACAGACTTAAAATCTCCAAAAACATGAGCCAAAATAAAACTATTCATAAGTTTATTATACTAGGTATTTATTATAGGAATGGAAAGCTAATATAATTTAATAAACTCTGAAGATGACAGGTTGCTTCACACTTAGATGATTTTGCTCACACAGTTCCCTCTACCAGAAAAGTCCTCCTCCTTTGATTACCTGGCAAATTCTGTGCACAAAAGTCACCTTCACGATGGAATCCACCCTTACAATCTTATTCACATGCTCAGAGATAGTCTGTTGCTAAAATTTCTTAAAATGCTACCTTCCCACCTGGTCCAAACAGCTCAGTAACATCTCACTATATTATACTGGTACACATTCATCTAAATTTTGAGTGTGTGTGTGGGGGGAGGTGCTGGGAATCAAACTCAAGGCCTCACGCATGCTAGTCAAGTGTTCTACCACTGAAGTATTACCCTCTCCCCAGGCCCTTCATCTTAATTTTCAAATCCCAAATTCCTGATAGAGGCCAATATGTAAAATGTTCAACAAATGTTTACTGGAAAAACTATTTTTTTTCTACCTCCCTATATAAGTGGCTACTAACCATAGTTTTATCTTCTTATTTAGGCAAAAATAAAATTTAGCTTTCAAAATGATGCTAAATATACAAACAATAGTGTCATAATACTTAGAATCATAAAGCTATAAACATTAAGAACTACTCATATATTTATATATTTAATTTTGAAGTTCAATATTTTTCACTTGCTGCCCCCTGCTGGAAGATGGAAAATATGATTAAATTTTTTTAGACTAAACTTGATTGCATCAATTGCTTTGTAATCTCTGCACCTTCCTAAATCTCAAATAGCTCAATTGAACTAGTTAGAAGGTAATCTCTTAGTAAAAAGGGATTATGAAAAGGTGGTTGGGAAGCTATTTCAGAGGCTATGACGTTGTACATGGCCAGAAAAATCTAACTGATGAATGTAATTAACATGATGGAAGTCATGTGTGGAAGAATTTCAAGAAAAAAAGGAAGTGGTCAACATCATCAAGTTATAGAGATCAAGTAAGATGAGAGGAAAAATGACCACCAGATGTATAATTAAAACATCAATGGTGAGCAAATTTTCAGTGTACTTATCTTATTCTACATAAGAGAGAGATAAATTGACAAAGTAAAAGTAACTGGATTACACAGAGAAGCTTCTTGGGAGCATAAAAGCTTCTTGGGAGTAGCCAGTAAGGTTAGGGAGGGATATCAAAAACCATTTATTTGAAAAAATAACATTTATATGCTTAGAATAATAGAATCATTAAGTGGGGACCCAAGAAAGACCGCACTTCCTATAGGAAAGAACAACTAGAATGGATTCTATGATGACTTACCATTTCTAATTAAATATTTTGGGAAGAAAAGAAACCTGGCCTGGATCCCTGGGACACAAAACGGGTACTCTCACTGTACCAAATGGGGTGGCCACCTAGAACATATAACACAATCTTTACTAGTTCCTGCATAGTTCAGAGTATTATTTATTTATCTCATTAAAATAACCCAATTCAATCATATCTTCTCTGGACTACCTCCTAACTGAATTCCCACATCTGTTCTTGCTATATTCTAATCAGTTTTCACACAAAAATAGGATGATTTTTCAAATACTATTATTGGCACCCCACTACTTAAACTGCTTCTAATTGTTTTCAGGATAAAAATAAAAATCCTTAACATAGCCTACAAAACTTCATAGGCCCTTCCTTGACTACCTGTCCAGGCATTCTCTCACCATGTTCTCTTCCCACTTCTATCATCATTACTATTTCCGGAAAAGGGTCAAGTATCATGATCCAGAGCTTTTCTACATGCTGTGGCCTCTCACTGAAGTTAGCTTGCCTAACTAACTCAGTTCCTAGTCAAACAAGCTGCCTCCTGACTTCCTAGACAAGGCTGTGACTTTTTTCAAACTCAATTAGGACCATACTGCCTATCTTTCTTCTTTCATAGAACTTACCACAGTTACAGTTTTACATTCATTTTTATGATACTGTAAGTAGTATCTTCCCACTGCCCCAGCTGGTAAATTATAAATGCCATTTTAAAAAAGGATCACTTCAGTTTTTGCTAGCCATGTTTATCCAGGATCTAATATAGTGCCTGCCATGTAGAAGTTGTTGAACAAATGAACAAATGAAGAAATAAAGCATTTAGAACAATAACAAATAATTATGGTTAGTCTGCTGTTACGAATTTCATTCCTACCTCTTCTATAAAAATAAACACATGAGAGCAATTTCTCTGACCTTACTTTCACAGCCAGCAAAGAGTTTTTACACCTACTAGCTTTAAATATTTATAGCAAATGTATATATGAAATTACATAACTAATATTTCAAGGTCTGTTCAAGAATCTTTGTATTAATGAAAAGGCACTTTCACAAAAACGTTTAGAAAAGGTACTATAACATCAGTTTCAGCACAAAGCCCAAACACAAATGCTGACAGACTTTTTTTAAATCACCCATCACTTACATATATATTTCCTCAAGGCTGTTGGATAAATCCACACGTTCTTGCCCTTTCAGCCAAGGAGCACTAAGATTGAATAATATATATTAAAGAAGACTATTTAAGGAATAATGTTTATACTTCAAACATAAACTGCTGATTAATACACAAATTGGTTTCAATTTTTTAAAAGTATTTTCATCAAAATGTTGTCTTATATTTTTATAAATCTATACAGATTAAAAATGTTTTCATTGGCATTAACTTATTTAACACTCTCAAGAAATCATAACAAAACTAACACCAATATTATTCAGTTTTAATGGTTTAAAAAAAAATAGAGGTCCAGCTGAGAGCGTAGCCCAAGAGGGAGAGCACCTACCTAGCAAACACAAGACCCTGGGCTCAAAACTTAAACAAACAAATAGACATGAGTTCATAGGGTATCATAAACCTGCCCAAATTTACATAAGTGACAGAACAGGTTACAGAATATTTGCTACAATACTGGAATCTCCAATTTTTCTAGCTGTGTCTCAAAAACAAGTCTAACAAGTAAGCTGGTTAGCACATGATTGCAAAAAAAAATTTTTTTTTAAAAAGTACATTTATATTTATAAGCATTCTATATTATTTGCAATAAATAAAAACAAAAAATTACAGAACTATTTTATTAGTAAGTTTTATTACTATCACTACTAGATAAAAATTTTAGCAAGTTGTTTATGCAAATTTGTTCCAATGAAAGTACATTTATATTTATAAACATTCTGTAACATTTTAAATAATAAAAATTAAAAAACAGAATCACTTTATTAGTAAACTTTATTACTAAGGTTTTAAAATACACAAAAATAATGCCACTTATAAATAAAAAGTTTAGTAACAGTTGTTTATGCACACCTGTTCCCAGGATTTATTCATACTACTAGGTCAAAAGAAGCAAGGTAGATCACAGCTCACTTGCTTCAACAGGTAATGGCAGGTGCCAGTGGCTCACGCCTGTAATACTAGCTACTCAGGAAGCAGAGATCAGGAGGATCATGGTTCAAAGCCAGCCTGGGCAAACAGTCCACAAGACCCTATCTCAAAAAAAACATCACAAAAAAGGGCTGGTGGAGTGGCTCTACGTGTAGGTCCTGAGTTCAAGCCCCAGAATCGCCAAAAAAGAAAAAAAAAGTCATGACTCCTAATGATTAAACTTGGATTTCTAAAAGGTTTCTCAATAACAATGGGAGGAAGGAACTAGGAAGAAACACCAGAAGCACCCTGGGTAATTCCTGGAAGGCTGAATAGTCTGAATTAGAGGTTCATCAAGGAACTCTGGCTAAAGTCAGCAGAAATGGGTTAGGAGAAACCCTAAGGATTTCCAGATTACTAAATGGAACAAAGAGGAAGGTTTTCTAAAGATAATTCTGTAGCTGTTTTACCTCTTTTATGTTAAATGGCACATTTCAATGTGCTTCATATAATTTTTTATTTAAATGCTCTATACAAAATCAAAGAAATGTTTTTAACTTCTACATAGCTTTTAATGAGAATTATTTTTGATAAACACAACACATAGTATAGAAAAATCTTTAACATTATAATCTTTTATAAAAATATAAATGAAGAAATATGGCTTACTTTAATTGGTAAATAGGTGGAGCTGTCCCTGGGTATTCACTCGGTAGCATCACCTATAATGCAGTTTAAAACAAATGTTTACAGTTTATCATGGTTCAAAAAATGACTGTATTTACAAAGCTAGTTGATGAACAAATTTCTACCTTGCCAAACTAAAAAGTAAACCATTGTTTTATTAAACCTCAGGAGAATACCCTCCTTATATTTATGCTTCTATACTGAATATAAGTTGTCAATGTTTTAAGAAGGAGTTAATTATTTGCAAAAAAAAAAAAGCAATGAAAGTTGCAACCAATAAGGTTAAGGAGAATGAAAGGAAAAGAAAAACTTAAACAGGATCATTATAACTTGACTCCAAAGGATAGAGCAATTATTTTATCATTTTTCAGGTAATTTTCTGAATACTAAAAACAAATCCTGTGAAATACTATTAAATATGGTACATAAAGTCCGGGTACCTGCAGCTCACACTTGTAATCCTAGCTACTTGGGAGGCTGAGATCTGGAAGGTCATGGTTCAAGGCCAATCCAGGCAAATAGTTTTCAAGACCCCCATCTCCATAATAACCAGAGGAAAACGGGCTGGAGGTGTGGTCCAAGCAGTAGGGTGCCTGCTTTGCAAGTGTAAAGTCCTGAATTCACTACCCAGTTTCACCAAAAATAAAATAAAAAGGTGTAAGAAAAGGCTATTACTTAACAGAGAACAACACATTCCTTTCCAAGTAAGTACTATAAAAACAAACACTGAAAATCAACTGATTCTCACTTAATAAAGAAGTAAGTATCTACTCTCTCAATCACCTTCACTGTTAACCATTCTGCCATCTTTCCAGGTTTAGACCCTCTCATTTTAGATAGATGGAATAACAAAAAGAAGTAAAACTCAAGTCTGTCAATGGTACATAATACATTTAATAATGAAAAGAAATGGGACAGGAAGATTGAAAAAAATCAATTAAAAGCATGATTTGAGAGTGATCTGAGATTTAACTACCCATGTCTAGATAGATAATCATGACAAACAGCAAAGAAAATTTAGAAAATAACTCATGCAAGAATATGGTCATCATATAGTAAATATTGCAACTGGAAAATAACTGTAGAGAAACAGAAAAAGAAAAAAATATACCTGCAAGCAAAGTGTCCATTTGGGGTCATCTATATCATCGCTAATCCTAATGCAAAATATTTTGGCACAGTCATCAATGACGCACCATTCCTCGCCATAAATGGCTGCCATTGCTTCAATTTCCTCATTCTGAAAGTTGATTAAAAGAAAAAGTCAGCAAATGTACATATCCGAAAAACCTATTCTTACTACTTTATATGGCATTAGCATTCAACATTACAGCCTGAATGAGATAGGAGCCTTAGAAGGCTAAATGTTCTTAGCAGCAGGTGCACAATACTCTACTCTCTGTGTGGTTTCCCTCCCTGAACTATGGCCATGATTCGAACAGACTTGCTACTGTACTGTATTGCTGTATTGGGACTCTATGGAGCCAAAATACATACGCACTTCCACATCCTGCAATGAGATACACAAATGCAAAGATAAACACACTTTCTCTCAGGTAATCCCACACCCCCACTTCTAATAACCTTGCCACTCTGCATTCCTGCTGAGTTCTCACTCATTTCCATTTTAGACTTTTTTTTTTTTTAATTTGGGAACAGGGCTTCGTGGCCTTTTGCTTTCCGTAATCAAAGCCTCAAAATATCCCACAAGTTATTCTTTTGGTTTGGGGCTTAAAAAGTAACATATAAAGGTGGAAAATGGGAAGCTAAGTATGCATTCAACTTTGGGTAATCTTCTCTCCTCGCGGCCCTGTAGGAAAAGGTGCCCCCGTGAATCACGCACAGGAGAAAGCCTAATGCAAACAGTAATGTAAGGTTCGGTGGGCTCTCCAGGAACTGCAGGGTCTGCGTTATTGCCCATCTTTGCAAAGACGGAGCCGGGATTCTTATGGGCCTTGTCCAAGGTGACCCGCAGGGAGCAGAACCCGGGCTCCGTCCTCGGGCCCAGAACCGCTGAGTCGCGTGCTGGTGGTTGACGAGGACACCGGATTCGGAGGCCCAGCCCGCCACAACCGAAGAGCTTTCGGCCCCGAAGTTCTGGACCGGGGGGAAACGCGCGGAAAACGGACCACGGTGGTGCAACAGCGCGGCTGGGCGGCCCTGATGGCGCAGGAGGCCCGCGAAGGCGAGGCGAGGCCGAGCTGAGCGTGGAGGGTCGGCACCCCGCCGTGGCCTCACCTGCCTCTGGTCGCTCCCAGCGTCCCCCTCAGCCATGTGGCCCCGGGAGCGGCCCTGCGGCCGCCGACTACCCAGGTCCGGAGAGCGGGGGCAGGGAATTAACTGCAGCTGCAACCGAGCGGCACCCGGGCAGAAGCGCAGCCCGACCCGGAACCACTACCCGACAGCGCTGCGCCGCTGCCTCCTACTTCCGGGTCGGCGGCCAGGTGGTGCGAGGGGCTCCAGGCTCTGAGTTCTGGGGCTTATGGGAGGGCCTGCCGCCCGGCCTGGGACCTACACTGTTTCTTCCGTGTCCAGGAACCCCGAGGCAGCCGGCTCAGCCGATGGGCCGCAGACGGCCTTCTCGTCTCTGTCTTCATGTTCAGCGAAGCTGGGGGCTTCTGCTCGACCACTGTGGCACCATCGGAACCGCAGGAGACGTTGGGAACTTGGGTTTATCGCCACGCCCCAGAGAGGGACACAAATGCAAACCGCAGTCCCAGACTTTACATTTCCAGGCAGGGTTTTTGTTTGTTTTTGTTTTAACATGTTTTGTTTTTTGTCTGCTGTTGGCAAACATAGTTTTGATTTACCAAAAAACAGGAGAATAGGAGACTGCAGGCAGTTTTGAAAACGTTGGATTGTGGTAGTTTTCTTTAATGTCCATCAGCATTTTGTCTGGGAACAACTTTTGTAGAAGACACTAGTTATATCAGTGAGCCTAAAGATCATTGTCTAATTGTCCCCAAAGTTTCAGTCAACTAGTGTCATTTCTTCCCTTACCCCCAGCACATACATTCTATGACACATTCCAACACATTGGTTATGAATTATATCGATTGCCTTATTCAAGGCACCTCAGTGGAGGTTGTTTGGTAAGTATTTGGTCTGCTCTCGCTTCATTTTTCTTAAAACACACACATACACAAAAACTAAATATTTGCAACTTTCCTCTCTCCCCTCTTCCTTAATCATGGGCATTTTTCTGGTCCACTTAAAGCTTTTCTCAGAGTAAGTGTACATTGCCAAAGTTATTGAAGTCTGACAGACATCTACCAGGCTCTGTAGTGTGCCAAACATTGGAGATGCAAAACCAAATGTCATGCATTGCCTTTAAGAAGCTAAAGATGTGAAACAAAAATAAATCCACAATAAACATTGAACTCTAAGTTTGTCCTGTTGTATTAGTAGCACAAACAACAACCATAAGCCTTCTGCAGTTATCTGTTGTTAAAACAGCTTTCTTTCCTTCCTTCACTCTTAACTCTTTACATCACTGTCCTCTTCATATGTCTTACAATTTCTGTTGCCTAAAATAAATAGTGGTTTTCACATTAAACACTTTTAAAGTCCATGGAATCCTTTCTTCAATGAAAGTTTATATAAAGCAAATTAGAATGCTCTGGCTAAAATAGCAGTGATGGGTCGAAAGTACCAACTATTCATTCTTCTTCCCTCCCATTTTCCCTTCAAGGACTTGAAAAACTACCACATTAGGGGTGTAGCTCAGTGGTAGAGCACTTGCCTTGCATTCAAGTGGTCCTGGGTTTGATCCCCAGTGCAACATAAACACGTATACATTAAAACTTAACCTTCTAAAAGCACATATCCAGTTAATTATACAAAGCACCTCCTTTCTTACCACATATAGCAACCCAGTCCATCTTACCTTATGCAGATTATACCTATGATTTTCTATTCCTGACTCTTCCTAGCTATAACCTTTAAGTCTTTTCCTGAACTCAGATTCTAAAAAGAAATATCTCTTTGTGTTAAAGGGAACAACAAAACTTCCCTGTTCTCTGGCCTGAATAAAGCCCCAGACTTGGATCTACAAAGAGCACTTTAGAAAAATGAGAGGTCTGGTGGAGTGCCTCAAGCAGTAGGGCGCCTGCCTAGCAAGGGTAAGGCTCTGAGTTCAAACCCAAGTACCACCAAAAAAAAGGAGAGTAGTTATTGAAGTTATAAGTGTAGCAGGCCACGTACATTTTGAAGAACGTATTAGAAGAAAGCAAGACTATAAACGATTCAGTTGAAAAAAACAGCTTAGTATGAACTTTGAGCAGTTGCCTAAGCAGAGGTTGGGGATGCTCTGCAAATAGCAATCCTGGACACAGAAGGGGTCCCTAAACTTGATTACTCTGATTTCTACATCCATTTACCAAAATGATTGCTGGTTACTTCCCTTAAAACTCACTATGTTCAAAACCTGCCTAATTTGCTTTTTCCTAATCTTATTCCTCCTCCCATCTTCCCCAATTCAATAATGGCAACCTTCAAAGTCTCACATCAATAATTGTCTGAACTTGAAACTGGGGAGATATTACACTCTCCCTTGCTTCCATACCCATGCATCAAGTTCTGATGATTCTGATTCCTCAATATCACTTTCCTCGTATCCTCATATTATTTCCTCAAATCCTTCCTAGTCTGTCTGATTCTATCTGGACCCTGTTTAAGTTATCCTTCTCACTGCTGCTGGAGTAATCACCCAAAATGTGTAGTCTGAGCATGTCTTTCTTCCTTGAAACCTTTTACTCCACCTCCCCTCTAGCATTCATAATAAAACTTAAACCTTAATTCACAAGGTATGTTTCTGGCCATCTTTCTAATTTTTTTCTCTCATTGTTTCAGCCATATTGGCTTAATTTATTTTACTGAAGCTTTCTTTGAAGAAAGAATCCCCTGGCTTCAGAAAAATATGAATGACACTATTTTTACACAATAGACATGTCTTGTGCCAAAATATACAAAGAGGCTTGTGACTAGAGTAAAAAGAGAGCAGATCTGTTTATAGGTAAACAGCCACATGGTTAGGATGATGATTATAGGAGTCCTTAGGCAATCTAAAGGAAATACATGAGACCAGATGCCTCAGGACTCCCACCTAGAAGAGAAATATGATGGCTGGCTGCACCAGAATGTTTATGTGGGACAGACTTTGGAACCCAATTTTGTTGGAAAGAGGGGCTTGAAACTTTTTGCTTAAAATTGAGAAACAAACTGTCCAAACCAAAGGATATGATAAAGATCACAAAAGGCCAAAGCCTTCTCTTGGAAACAAAAAATGAATATACATGTGCAGAGATTGTCATAAATTGGTTGTGCAAGTCATGAGAAGAAGGGATTGGCAACTGTGCTTTTACAGGCAAGGGAGAGTGAGTTATTTGAACTGAAAGGCCTAACCCGAAATTGTGTTTGTGTAATTATAACAAAGTTGACTTGAGGATAAGGCATGAAGTCTGTAAAGAATTCTCCATAAATCTGTTTAGATTTTTTCTATAGGGCTATTTCAAGTATCTTAAGTACTTTCTACTCAAAGTAAGGTCTAGCCCCAACAGCATCATCTTGTCTGAAAGCCTGTTAGAAATAACAGAAACTTGGGCGCCACTTCAGACCTGCTTAATCTACATTTTAATAAGATTCCAGATGATTTATATGCACATTAAATTTTGAGATCCTTGTGTGATGATCAAAGGGAAATACCTCTTAGATCTTAGACTATAGGGAGAGTAAATGACTAAAGGCCCCAACTACTGTTGTACTGTACTTTACAAATACATCCTCTATTACATTTCTTGAACATTTAACTTCATTTTGTTGTCTTCCTTTCTAGGACCCATATCAACACAAACTACATTAGGATACACTGAATGGCAGGTAAATTCTGCCCATATAGTAGTTAAAATAATTATTTGGGAGGCCATTAGACTTAGGTAGCTCCATTGCCTTGTGTTCCTTTGTAAGCAAAATGAAATCCACCTAAGTGTAACCTCTAGCTAGAGTCTTTATTATTCAGAAACTGCCAACTAACCTCTAACTAGAGTCTGCCTTAACCAATCAAATATTTTCTCTGTTTGTTTCTGAGAACAACTTATATAATGTTCCCCCTTCCACCCATAAGTGGAGCACTGAACTGTTTGTGATCTGGTTTTTGCCCAGTTAATGAAGAGCTGAATGCTCCAATAAGCTCATTACAATTTTAGTGTGCTTAGTTTATCTTTTAACAATACTAACTTGTAATGATATATGTTGCTTAAATATTTTCCTTAGGGAAATATGTATTTAAAAAATTTTAAAACATCAGGGCTGGGGGCATGCCTCTAGTGGTAGAGTACCTGTCTAGGAAGTGTGAACCCTGAGATCAAACCTCAGAACTGCCACAAACAAACATGGGAGGGTATAACTCAGTAGTAGAAGCATACTTAGCATATGTGAAGCCCTAGGTTAGATCACCAGCATCTCACACATGAAAAATATTTTTAGAATAAAACACGAACATACCATCTTAATACACTGTTAATGCTGATTCATTCTACCTATTCCCTGCATGTTTTCCTTCACACCCAGACAATGAAAGCCAATGTAGCAGACTGCAGGCCAATGAATGTGGAGCCTGTTACTTCTCTTGATGCTATTTATTTGTAGCATGCCAACAGTTTACCCACTATAGCCAAAAAAGTGATAAAAGTCAAAAGATTAAAATGCTCGATGTTAAACTATAATTTTATGCAAAACATAGTCAAAGAATCAGAGTCAATACTAGCAAGCAAGTGGGGAAGGAAGAAAATCTTTTAGTATGACAATATCACCATAAATAGCACTACAGCCTGGGAAGATTAGCTAACAATTGTGTAAACAGAAGTTAGAATAAGTAATGGTACAGGAGTCATTTCCTGACTTCAGGAGATCTGAAGGGAATGGAAGGGTGACATCTAATGCATGATTCTAGAGCTCACCTACAAGAGGAACTTTGAAGTAAGGACCCTGTTATACTGCCTCCAGTCAGTACCCCTATTTTCTAAACAGGTACCGTGCCCCAATGAGGTATGCCGTACTTCACCTCTAGAACAATGATTGACTTCCCAATAATAACTGTGTCCAAGTGTTTACTATACAGAAATTAATTCCTCAATAGGTAATGTTGTCAAGGAGAGGTGTTCTTTGCCCATCCAAATTTATTATCTCTGTGTGAAGCACACTTAAAGTGATAATTTTATGCTAAATTTCTCACAGCCCTTGATATTCTAATATGTAGTTCTCCACAAAGGACTTCACTACAGAATCCTTCCCCATCACCCCTCTCTCACTTCCTAAAATTT